AGCGGGGGGAAGACAGGGAGCAATTCAGGCCCCAGCCCTGGCCCGAAGTGGTGGGGAATGGGGGGGAACGGCTCCCGCCCCAGCCTTGGCCTGAACTGGGGGTGGGGAGGGATGCAGGCCTCTGTCCCCCCTCTGTCCTTCCCCATCATTCTTGACGGGCAATTTGCTAGTAGTTAATAATCATAAATGTTGCTTTTCTGGGTTTTTTTCCAGTAAATACCAGGTTTTCTACAAATTCTAAACCTGGCGACAATAAATAAAACTTCATATACTACCTTTGTTCTTGTGTATTCTTTTTTGTTAAGCATGTTGTGATGAGAGGGGGTTTGCACAGTGAAGGGAACCCCCTCTCCCCCGTGCCACTGGACAAACCGTCCAGGGCTCCCACCATTCCTCATTCACTCTTACCCCTTTCCCTGCCTCTGCCCCACTCCCTTCCTCACTGTGGGGACCTCAGTCTGGACCGCCCCCCGGCCGCTTCTTTCTTGCCCCATGGCCCTTCCCTTCAACACCTGCTGGGCACTGTTGCACACTTGGCTGGACTGTGTTCCTGGCCGCCTGCAGCAGGCTGGGCTGGGTGTCTGTGTGCGCATGCATGTCCTGCCCCTCCCCCTGGCCTTCCACATACCACTCACAGGTTGTCTGTGTACCACTGGTGGTACACACCACAGTTTGGGAACTGCTGCTTTAGGTCTTTTTTATTATTCCTTCCTAACATGGTTTTCATCCAAACAGATTCTGTTTTGCCTATGCCATCATATCTTATTTACCTGCCCTCTGCCACTTTATTAATTTGATTAGTGATTTTTGGGAAGCCAGTGCAGGAAACAGAGCACAGGTTTGACGTGTCCATGCTAATTTGTGCTGCTGGGGAGATATACTACAGTGTTTTGTACTAGCTAGATTTTTCTAAGTGCTGAAATGTTTCATGCTCACTCTGTAGACCAGCTGAGAAATGATGGAGACATGACTAAATAACATAAAGTCATCAACTCTTTCTGAAGCCTAAGCTGGCAAAAAGAACTTTTACAAGTAAAAGGGGTATTGACTATGAACACATGCTTAACACAAGAGCCTTAAGGACTTCTGTGGAAAATACCTGTGAGCAGGCCTATTGTTGGACTCCATTAAAAGTACAACTCCGTTTAAGATTAAGATGTTGTATATTCCTGTCTTTTAGTGACAGCCAGGGATCCGGGTTTTTCATTTGCCATGGAAAAATCACAGATTTTCTCTTTTAAAGGAGCAAAATGTGGAAAACACTGGGTCCCCCTTGCACGCTGGCAGTTTCAGGTTCCAAGGGGCTGCTGGGGGTAGTGGGAATAGGGTGATCAGGCTGGGGGTGCCATGTGTACATGCATGTGGTGGCGAGGCAGTGTGGAGCAGCTCCTGTAGCTCCCCTCAGGTAAACTTAGGGGTGTGGGGGAAGGGTGGATGGAAGCCCCCACAGTAGCGCTGGGACTGGAGGCACTGCCCAGCCAGGGTGGTGTGTGAGGCCCAGGGCTGGGGTGGGAATGTGCAGCTGCAGCGCACAGTCAGGGAGCAGGAGGGAACCAAGGGCGGCTCATCTAGGGGGTGATGGAGGAGCTGGTTCCCCATTGTTGCACACACTCCTGGGGAGGAGGACATAAGCCCCCCTGATGTGTGTATGGGGTGGGGGTGGATACAGTGGCACCAAGCCTCCCTGGCCTGCTGTGCTCTCCTGCACTGGGTCCTGCCCACTGGGCCATGGAGACCCCTGAGGGAGGGCAGCAAAGTGGGGAGTGAACAGCTCACATCCTTCCCCCACATGGGCTCTGCTCCAGCCGTGCCGCCCATGGGAGGAGGGGAGTGGGGATGGGGGGTGGAGCCAGGCTGCAGCAGCTGCTGACTTCCATGGGTGGCAGCCAGGGCTCGGGTGCTGCTGGGGAGGGACAGGGGGCTGCAGGCCCTGTCTCTGGTCCCATAGCACTGGCAGCTGGGGTTCCCCTCTGGCAGGGCTGGAGGGGCAGGGGGTTATGGGTTGCGAGTGAGGGGCATGAGTAGGGCTGGGGGGTGGGCTGTGGGTTGGGAGCGAGGGGCACTGTCAGGGCCAGGAGGCTGTGGGAGGGGAGTGAGGGGCACCAGCAGGGCTGGGGGGGCTCTGGGTTGGAAGTGAGGGGCAATGGCATGGCACCAGCATATCAGGGCTGCTCAGCCCACAGGGCAGCTGGGAGGGTGGGGGCAGGAACAGCCGCAGCTGGACATGCATCCTAATGAGCGAAGGGGGCAGTGGGAGCTCTGATTTTCTATGATAAAAAAAAATCCAAAATCAAATGTCAAAATAACCACCCCCACAGCCATTTTGAAGTGTGGGGATTCTGATACATGAAATGCTATGGTGCTTTAATTAGAGCGGCTCTCAGAGCCACTCTAATTAAAGTACCCTCTCCAATCCCTGGAGCACAAGTAAAAGTGCCCTAAAATGCAAATCTACCTTGCCTTCTGCCTGACTTCAAGCTAATACTGCTAACTACCACTCTCTGCTCATGTAATCTATGCCTTTGTCACTTCAAGAGGAGAATCGCACTGTAAACTGACCCAGAAAATAGACCTGATATGTAGAATATGTCCTGCATTGACCACTGATTGGTTCTTAGGTAAGTTTAAGGCACTGATTCTAATTTGAAAGGTGTTTTGTGGCTTGCTACTTGCCTGCTTCCGTAATAGCCTCTCCCCTATGGAACAATGTATTGTTTTTCACTGATTTAAAAATATTGCTTTTAAATATAGGCTTAGGCTTTATAAACTGAAATCCCTACATAGTAATAAAGCACAGTGACTACTATATTTTATAAAGTAGTCAGAAGTTAAGTTGAAAAACATTTATAGAAACATTTTTCTTTCCCAAATTAAAAAGCAGAGTTGACAGACCCTGCACTTTCATTTGAAGTGTTACAACTGACACGACTGACACTCATCTATGAGTTCAGTAAAACATAACAAATAGAGTTCATAGAAGTATTCACAGCAAGAAGAAAATATATTTATTTATGTCTCCAGCCATACCTGCAATATTGCTTCATCTCCAGCAGCTGTTTTGAAGTCGTCATGCTTCCCAATGATTTTCTGTAGCTGAATGCAATAAAAAAACAGGGTAATTACATATTTGATTGTTTAATATTCTTGTATTCCAAGGGCATATATTAACTTCACCTTTTAGTAATTATAACCCCCCCATTTTTCTATTGCTGTTTTTCTGACCATTGTAAGCTGTTTAGTATTAAAAAACCCTTTAAATACTTGAAGACAGGTTACTCAGATATTAACACTTCCTCCTAGTTCTCGTTACTGAAGCAGAGCACTTCTTAATCAGCTGCTTTTCCATTTATTGCTAATGTTTATGCTGTTTCTGGCAGAAATTCTTTTATGCTGGGAGTATCTCACCTACAGTCCACCCCTAAAAAATGTCAGTATTCAGGGATGTTATACCCCAGATCACTTTAGGAGAAATCCAGGTTTGTTTCCCCTATACTTATTTTCACACTGTTTGCACAAAGTTCACTTAAACACTTTTGAATATCTCTGAAAATGTGTAGGATCTGCTAGACAAGAAAGGCTCATCTGTTTAAAACATATACTGGATGGTTAACAGGAGGAGTTAATACCAAAACCAATACAATTGATTTCTTAGATAAAAACACAATTTTATTTCATCAACTTATGAACTGAACTATTTGTTTTTTAAACAGGAACATTCATGAAAGTAGATTTTTTACATGGCCTAAGTGATTTGGGAGTTTATGGCTGTCTATATCAGTGGTTCTCAACTTTTTTAGGCTCAAAGCACCTCTTGCTATGCTTGTAAAATGCCAATTCTTAATTTTCACTTGGTTTTTTTTTACTATAGAAAAATAATAGAGCAATTTTTCTGTTGCAGAGAACTCAGAAAGACCACAACAGGTCAGAATGTTTTAACATTATGGAAATCTACTTGAAATCTCTCAGCTTATCTTCTGAACAATGTTTGAAGTGCTAACATTGCATGGCACCCTGCAGTGCTCTTGAAAGTCTGAAGGTACCCCAAGGTGATGTGGCACCCTGGCTGAGATTCACTAGTCTAAAAAATGAATGTAGTAGTCCCCAGTGCAGGCAGCCTCAAACATTCTCCAATGCTGTGGGTAGGCTGCCTCCTAAACCAGAAACAATGCAACTCATCTCTACATGGAGCTTGAGATGTGATAATTAGCACTACTGAGCAACACTGCCTCCTCAGCCAGGGCCTGTATAACTATTGACACTGACAAGACCATCCATTTGGCAACAGGCTAACTGGCAGTCTCCCTGGAGGTGCCACCAGGAATAATAAATTTACCAGTGGAGGCTTATGTACTTTTCAAAACTGTTGTCATCCCTTAAAGTAGGACTGTTCAAGTAGCAGCCTGCAGGCCAAAAGGTTTACTTGCAGCCCACAGGCTCTTGCCCAGGTGATGCTCCCTCTTCTCACTTGTGTGGCTGCTGCCACTAGAATCTCCAGGTTCTCCCCCTCTCTCCAGCTTTCACTTCCTGCCCTTGCCCCTGGGAGTGCTGTGGTGCATCCTTGAGCACTCAGAAGCTGGACAGCCCTGGCTGCCCTAAAGTAATAGCGTCAGGCAAACACACCAGCTGTGTTATACTGAGTCTTGCTAATGTGTTTAAGCCCTTCTTTCTAAATATAGGTTGAAACAAGATTTCCTCATTAATTTATTCTTTATAACTACTCAAAAGTAAGTTGAAAGTCAATGTTCTCATGTAATGAGCAATTTAATGTGCTACTGAACAAAGCTCACCTACCTTTCATGGGCGTTTGCCCCAATCCTCAAATGGAAAGCAAAAATAAAAGAACAAGGGACTTATTACATTTAGTATACCAGCCTGGATATAAATAGAGCATTGTGAATTTGCAGTCACTTAAGAGAGATGGTTTTAAAACTTATGCATTGTCTTCTGCCACTGTTTCTTTCAACACCTCTGAGCCAACTCTCATGCTACCACTTTGTGAGTGGGAAAAGCTTCTAAACAGCAGAACCAGTTCTCAGTGGCTAGGTAGGTAGTTATGCCATGTATTTGTGTTTGGTCACAGCTTTAAACTGCTTTCTGTGGCCAGACTGGGTGGAAATTGTCATTTCTGTCTGTGCCCCATGAGCTTCTTCTACTGCTTGCACTGTAGTTACTCTCCTTTCCCTTTTCATCCTGCTCATTTATTTGATTCAGCGGTTGTGTCATATAATAAACCTAGATTTTCAGCTCCATGGGACATGGAGACTCCATAAGTCTTAACAATAAGCGTTAAGCATCAAAACACAATTAGGTGCCATTAAATATAAACAAAACAATAACATTACTCTGATTCCCCCCATATCCTTTCAAATAAGAGTATAAATAATTCATGGTTAAAAACTGCCATTTTAGGGTCGTGAAGTTCTTGCTGGTAATGGATCAAGTGTTCATAGCAGAATTTTGCTCACAAGTGGAAAAAAGTCACTAATTTTTACCATGAAAACCACATTTTTTACCTCCTGTGTTCACATAAAAACAGAGAGATGAAACAACACAACTTTTATTCTGCCACGAGACCAAAGAAATATGATTTTTCTTTAGCTATTTGTATTTTTTTCAAAAATACATCACTGGAGACAATCTGCTGAAAGCAATAATGTTGTCAAAGGGGGGGGGCCGTACCGATCACTTTTCCCCATGTCGAAGCCTCTGCCCCTCTTGGTAGGGGACCGTCCCCAGGGTGCTCCTCCTCCCAATGCTTGTCTGTTGGCTGGTTACTTCCGAACCGCCTGCCACGACTTTGATGACCTCTTGGTTCAGTGATACAAAATCCGGAGTGTGTCAGTCCACAAATGAGACTTCTATATCCCCAGGGGTCCCACGCTGTCGAGGGCTCCGCCGCCCCTACACCCTCGCCCGTACCTCCAAGCGGTCTCTCGGCCGCCTTCTTTGCCCCCTCTTCGCGAGGGTACGTCCGAGGTCCAGAAATCAAAGAAAAAAAAACAACTGAACGCTACCAGCCAGGGATTCCCGGAGCCTGAAGGTTACCCGTACCTTTTACTGGCTTCCCCGGTCCTTCCCTGTCCACCATGGGGATACCACCCCTCCTCAGGCTTCACTTGCAATACCAGATTTGTTCCCGGGCTTGCAAAGTCCCCAGGTCCCTCTCTGGCACAGCGGCAGTGCTTCCCTAGCTGCGAGTGCCCCTCTATTCAAGGAAATACGGCTC